AAAAATTTGATCAAAAAGAATACGTTCAAATATTTTGGAAAGAGACGGGAGCAGTGAAATGGGACGGTAATTGGTAATCTCATTACGGGAACCCCCCTTGAAAATGGGACAAATATTAGCTTGTTTCCAGACATCAGGAAATTTGCCTATGGAAAGAGATAAATCAAATATTTTTTTAAGGGAACAGAAAGCGGAACAGAACCAGCTTTAAGCAAATGGTTACTGATACCATCACAGCCAACGGCCTTATGTACACAAAGCTTACTTAGATGACCTGAAACTGCATCAGCACTGACGGTTACCGAGGAAAGATAGTCCAAGGGGTACTCAGGAAGATCAGGAGCTTCAGGGATTAGAGACTGCTGAGAAGATGTATTATTATTATTATTGTTATTAGTATTAAAAAATGAATTGAAGTAGATACTAACAGCATTAGCTTTTTTCATAGAGGTGGCATGGACTTGACCTTGATAATGGATTACAGAGGGCAATGTTGATTACTTCCGTGATGTTCTACGCCAAGACCAAAATCTTTTAGGATTGATATTCAGATCGTTTGAAAGAGCATCAACATACTGTCTGTACTGCTGATTACAAAGTTTTTTGAAATTTGTTCTGGCCATTCTAAAATCTTCAACAGCAAGTCGAGTTTCAGTTCTTTTCTTAATTTTAAATAATTTTTCCTTAAGTTTTAAAGCTTTGTATAATTCATGATTAAACCAAGGTGGGGGTTTTCTTTTTGGTTTAAACACAGGAACAAGAACAACTATTAGCCTATCCTAAACAAATTCAAAATGCTTTTACATTTTCAGAATTCAAAATATTTAAACATTTTGTACCGGACAAAATTGCACCGCTGGGAGGCTATCCTTTTTCTACGTAGCGTAAAATGAGTAATTCTAGTTATTATTTATATTATCATTATTAAAACAGCATTTTTATATTGAATTTATTTCTGCCCTGTCATAAAAACCACGAAAATACCAAAACGTTACACACACACCACACACCCCACCCACACACATAAATGTTAACACCCCAAATTACTACAAAAAATGTCATTATTTTTAAGAAACTAGAAAATAAAATTAATATCCTTTGCAGTGGTAAAAATGAGTAAAAAAATCCACCATTTTTCATTCACCGTTTTTGTATTGCCCATGTACATTTCAACTCTTTTGACAATCTTTAACTTTAGTAATTAAGATTGATTTTAAAAATCTTTATCGAGATATACATATAAATAGTGGCCCAAGCCTATGTCGTAATTTCGACATAAATATGTCGAAATTACGACATACGTATGTCTTAATTACGACATATTTATGTCGTAATTACGACATAGGCTTGGGCCACTGTACGTATTGTTTCTCGTCAGCTTCACTTATGTACGATTGAAAAGTTGTGACTTGCAGTTGAGTGATATTTTAATTTTGAATTTCATATTTTCAGT